AAATGCATGCAGTGTAAAATGGGAGAACATCAGCTGTCACCAGCTCCTGGTCTGTTATACATGGTGTCACCTGCGTGTTGGTGAAAAATATAATAAAGTTCCTATACATTTTTATCGTGAATTGCTTCCTAATGGAGCTACGCCCCTTCAATAAGTACTTTCTGAATACGGGGTTTTCTCAATTTTTTTGAATTTCTTCATAAAAAAATTGAGAAAATTGGTACATCGTAGGGACTGAATCAGTATATCGAGTTGAGAATTTCAAAATTTCAATCTGGGGCGTCCATACTAGAAGGGTTGTGAGTGAAAACAATATAATTTTGTATGGTATTTGTTTTTCACATTCTGATTTTAGAATATGAAACCTGAAGGTTTTTACGTAAAAAAGTTAATTTGGCATCAGAAGTTTATGCAGTGTGTACCAAATTTATTTCGATATTGTGTCGAAGCTTCGATGTTGAAAAATCATATAGATTGTTAGAAAATGTCACTGTGTTGAATTTATTTCTCTTCCAGAAATCGCTTACTAGTTAGTAACACCTTGTTTGTTTTCACTACTAATATATCAAGATGATTCTCATATTTTCATTAAAAAAAAAAAACGAAAATCTCAGAGAATTCTCGAAAATATCCACCTGCTCGGGCAGTGTTGAAATTACTTTTCACTTGCTCTTCTTATTGTTCTTATTTTCAGATCATTATATATATCAATGACAACAAAAGCAGAACAGGAAACTGAATTATTTGTCATGTAACAATGTGACAGAATTGTTGTCAATCTGGAAGAAATCTAATTTTCAATTTAAAGGCATTTGACCTTGAACCCCCAAAAAATTCCGGCTGCGGCGCATTTTCTGCACTTGTTAGGTAAACTAGTATTCTTTTGGTAACTTTTGAGTTTTTTCTGCACGCTAGAAGAAAAAAATAGTGTAACCTAATACGTGCGCAAATTAACTTTTCGCATTAGGTAAACTACTATTTCATAATTTTTCCTGGAGTTGGCACGCACTAATTGGCGTGTTGTTTCTTCAGCTTTCTCAAAGATTATATCAGGAAAAAAAATTATTCCACCAATAATAGTAATAATAATTACTATAGTAAAATTTCGTATTATGTTATATGTATATCCACATCTGATCTGGTCGATCAGCCAAGAGTAATTTTTGGAATATTTGGAATATGGCCAAATCTCGAGCAATTCTCTTTTATATCTGGAATATTGCCTCAGATTTGAGAAAGACGGGGAAACGTCACTCCATTTTCTCGGCGAGTGCGAGGCGTACGGAGATTTGAAATATTTGTAGTAGAACTTTTTTTATCGCTTGGGGCGCACGAAAGGGAATTTCTATAATGTTCAGAGAAAATCGTGGACGGAGATACTGGCCTTCATCAGAAAGTTAGGGAGATTCGTAAAGAAAATCTAGGTGAAGGAAGAGTAGATATGTGTAGAGCATGGTTTAGCAAAAAGGGTCCATCGGGACCTACTTGCTTGGCTACAGCCTCCCCACTTACTACTACTACTACTACTATATCTGGAATAAACTATTTGTGAATGCAACAATATTCAGGTAGAAACTCAAGTCTGAGATGGAATAATGCCCTCATATAACTTCCCATCTATTCACTCGTTCACTTCACATTTTACAGAAAAAAAAAAATGAAAACCTTGTAAAAACAGAGTGGCTAGTGGACTGATAATGAATTATTGGCATTCAATTACTCCACTGTGTCGTTAGGAACCTAAATTAATTTTTCTACTCACATGACTAATATGGCATTCAGCGTACGAATAAGTACCACGCTAAATGATCGATTAATCACGGATTGACGATCTGTGATTTATTCAGAATATTAAACACGTTACCATGGCAACACAATTCATTAAAAACAGCTCCAGTAATTGGAGAGATATCTGGCCTGTCATTTGTATTAACTGTCAACTGTTATTTTCAAATTTTGTACCAGAATTATTCAAACAATTTTCGTTTGTATCAGAATTCTTCATTAAAAATATATGGGAAATGTAGACGAAAGTGAAATCGAAAAATGTTCTGGTACTTGCATATCTCCAAGAAGTGTAAAAATGAATCATCCATCTTTGAGAACAATTTATTTATTCTGCGCTAAGCATGACAATAAACGTGAAAAAAAGGTTAGTAAGCAATGGACTGGATATATCTACAACCAATATCACTCATACGTGTCTCGCTGGTTGCATGCAGTTGCATATATTATGTTCTCAATTCCCATTCCTTTCGGTTTATTTTGTAGGTTCGCAGGAATAGCAGGTATGTTGATGTAATTTTCGGAGTTCGTAGAAAAAGCATAGTATGTAACGCGTTTATAAACTCTTCTAGACACTCGTTTATTAAACACTCGTTACTAAAAGGACGTTTATAACACTTGTTACATAATATACTATTTTGCACCACTTCTCACGCCTTTTTTACGTAAATAAAAAGAGTCTATGCGTTGTTCGAAATTGTTGAATTTCAGAGCTCATTTCAAACGAACCTTCATGGCCGCAATTATTTGGCTATACGTCGAATAAATGGTGACGTCAGTTTTTATATGCCGTTATTGGTCAGATAATCTTTCATTTCCACTCATGAAGCAAAGTTGTCAAGTCACCAATTATAATCAAGTTATCAAAAAGATGCTAGAGTCGATCCTGTCGTTGAATAAAACATAATAGGAGGAACACATGATGTTATAGTTCATTCTTGACTTTTTCGACCAACCAGCATGTCCAAATATTTCTTATTATCCATAACAACATATCATGTGAATGTTGGAGACTTGGCAACATTGTGCTGAATGCTGAGAACTGACAAGACCACTCCCACAAGTCGTGCGCCGAGGTTGTCACGTTCACCGATTCAAATGTCCTCTAGTGTGAATAATATAATTATTATTTACACAAATTTATTACAAGGAAAAAGCCACAAATCATAAGGGTAAATTTTGAGACAATTGAATTTTTATCGCTAATTAGGAGTATTACCAATACTCAATTGAGAATTTATGAATCATCAAATAACTAATATTTCTGAAATTCCCAATCGTATTTCAAACTATTCAATGGTCTGCGCCTACTTACGAAATCGTGGCGTCAGTTCTAACTGGCGGTAAATTTGTAGCCGTTTTAAAATTACCGTGGCATTATTGATGATTTTAGTACGTAAAAATCGACCGAAAAATTCTTGAAAAATATGAAATTGAAAGGTATTTGAGTGATGATTATATTCAAGAAATTTAAAAAAATTAGTCCACTCGCCTATTGTCGATTGTCGAGGAATGCTGTCCATGGTCATTTCATTGATGACTTTATATGACATTGAGGAACCCTTATCCTTTATTCATCGTTCAACCAGTACTGTTCCAGTGATCTTTCTAAAATGGATTATACCCATTGATACCCCAATGTCGTAAAAATAGTGTAATCTTGATCCATAGGAAATATACTATTGTACCAGCACAATGAAAGTGCAACATACCTATTATATGATAAAAAAATAAATGAACATGTACTTTTTCATCACCGAAAAATAGTGCTACCATCGATCAATTCAATGAACCATTGAATGGTCAGTTATGTCGTAACGACACCTTCTTTTGATGACCTAGTTGACTGACCTAGTAGTAGGGGAGGCAAAGAGGCTAAATAGGGATTTACTCGAGCGTCGTAGGGACGTTTCAGATTGTGAAGAATAGATACGAAAACGAAAAAATGTTTATATGATATATGACCTTTCACTGGTGGGGAGAGCGTGTACAGGTGTTCAAAAATGTAAAAAAAAAACAGTCACATAAAAATACTCGAGTGCATCAGATATTAATAGTGTATGCGCCTCACGTGTTTCTGATAACCGAAAAATATTAATCTGCCGGCTTGCATGGTTGGGGTGGCCGTACGAAGGGATAGAGAATAGGTAAAAAAAAATATTCGAGCGCGTCAGATATTGAGAAGGGACGTTAAGTGAACCCTCAAGTAGCTCCTCTTCAAAGGACTGACGATTTGGACGCGACCAAGTCATGATCAATTTTTGAAAATGAAAAAAAAATCGTGACCTTGAAATACTCGAGCGCGTCAGATTATTATACAGACGCTTCATCTTCATGTCCTTCTCGTATCGACCCATAATCTGACAATTATGTAGAGGAATTACCTTAATCTGACAGTTGGATTTTTTTTGTTAACTGAATGTAATAACTAAAATATAAAATAGGTCAGGGTGAGTCAGTTTTTTGTAGCAGGACTTCAACAGCTCGAAGAATTCACAATTTTGAGATTGAAGGCTCATGTAGACATACAGGGTAGACCAATAGTGTGGCAAAGCGAGATAGCGGCTTTGCTGTTTGAGATAGATGAACAAAAATTCATGAGATGGTCTAGTCTCATGAGCAGTACATTTCTGAAATATTTTGCGTTATACAGGGTTATTCAAAAATGAGTGGCGTATCAAAGTTATACTTTTTCTTATAGCACACCTTGTATTTTATTGCATTTTCAGATTTCTCCTTATGAGCTGATTGATAACAATACACGAAGTGATACTTTTTTTTCAGTTTCCTACGTTACCACAATTACATACATAGTTCCCAGTGGCAGCAAGCACCACACTCAATTGATGATTTTCGCTACTTCGGCTTTTGCAAATCGGCAGATTATGTTATTTCCGTTATACGTGACTAATTGCCTTCAAAAGGAGAGAATGTTCAGGTGACGGTTTTTTTTTTGCAACTTTGTTGCTCTCCCATTCCCTTTTGTCACGCTCAAATCGTCAGATTATTGAAATGCACACTTTAACGTACTAATCTGATCGGCTGCCCTAAACTTTCGACACCATATAAAGGGCCCAGGTATGGTGGGAGTACTTCACAAGGTCCAAGGATACCCCCCTTATGTTAATCTGCCGCGCTCGAGTAAATCACGAAATCCCCGCTTGGGCTTCCCTACTATAGCTAGATTTTGGTAATAATGAGAGTGTCACTTTCAGGCGAAGATGTTGACATTTTGCCGCGACTGCTTCTGCCGTTGGCAGGAAACGAGGAGTTTGACGAGGAGGACAACGACAAGTTGCCGCTGGAGTTGCAGTACTTGCCCGAGGATAAAGTTCGCGAGGAAGATCCTGATATAAGGCAAGTTACATTTATCGGTTTGGTTAGGTGTTTATCACAATTTTGGGTGACCACGTGATATGAAAGGGTGTTCAAGCCGTATTTTCTCTTGTAATACCTCTAGAGGTCGAAACATTTCCGGAAAATAGTTCAACCTCATGTGGTATTCGGTAAGAATACTTCACACCAGATTGTGTTTGAAAATTGAATAATTTTAGAATTCATTTATTTATTTAATTTTCATATAGGTTTATGAACAAATTTAGTCTGGGTCGCAGTTTCAGCACCAATAATAGATTCCTAGCTTAAAAAAATCTTAATTTATACCTATTGTAGTTGCATGAAAATACCAGTTTAGAATGTAATATACAGGAAGATTCAGATTCAAAGGCACAAACTGAAATAGTTGATATATCTCCTCATTTTTATCAAGAAAATTAATATAAATATGAGTCCGATCTCGATCAGAAGCGGAGCTACAGGGGGTTGAAGATATCAAGTAGAAATTTAGTGTGGTTGATATTCCCTAGAAGATCATCATTTTAAGCATATTATAGATTTTTAAAATCTACAGGGTGATACGTTTTTGAGGGTAGAGGCTTCCTTATACCCCATAAACTTTTTCGTAGCACGCCTCTGACAACTTTCAGTTGAGAAATTTAATATATCGTTCAATTTCGAGGCTTTTCTTGCCCTTCAATTTTTTCGAGAAACCAACCGTTTTCAGAATAAATAAGTATATCCGTTCTAAGAACATGTTGATTTAGCCTATATTGTTTCTGCTTAAATTTTATTATTGGATGACATTCGCAGACAATGCTATAAATTGTACTAAAATCAGAAACTGGATGAGTAGCGGAGATACAAAGGGTAGAACGTTTTTGTTAGTTTTTAAAGTTGGTTGAATTTTCTCCAAGAATAAAATGTATGCGAAATGTAGACAAATTCAACATGTTTTAGAAGGAATATGTTCATTTATTTCGAAAATGGTTCGTTTTTCGAAAAAAATTGAAAGCAATGATAGTCTATAAATTGGACAATGTCAGAGGTGTACCACTAAAAATTTTGGGTGGGATAAAGAAGCCTGTACCCCAAAAAAAAGTTAAATTATTAATCTTTGACCTTTTGTAGCTTCGCTACTGATCGAGATCGAACTCATGTTTATAAAAACTTTTTTGATCAAAATGATGAGATCCATCACACATTTCAGTTTGTGCCTTAAAACTTGAATCACCCTGTATATTCTTCCATTTTATATCAACTTCGTGTTATTACGTGGTAGAAAATTATAGTTTTATCAATTAATTATTTAAAGCTAAGTACATACTACTATTACTACTAAGTAAAAGGCTCTTTTTGCTGACCCCTGCTGCACACATACAGTGAGGACGTAAAAAGTCCTCCCCCCCCCTTATCTTTTGAACGGAAGAAGCTATCGAGGTCGGGTGAAATTCAGGTAAAAAGGTACTACTTTTACTACTCTTTGGCATAAAAATGATTGTGGTCACGTGGCCTAGTGTCAAGAGGGTACCATCAACTTTTTTTTTTCAAATGTAAAAGGGGGTCACGTGGCACCTGGTTTTGAAGGCCTTCCGATTCTCTATCCAACACCGCTGTGTTTGTGAAAATCGACCAAGCCGTTTCAAACTGACAAGTGTTTGAAATTTGCTTCAAAAATTTTACAAATAAATTGAAAACCTAAATAACTTTTAATTGCAACAAAATTTTAATCAACAATTTCAACTATTTTAACAAGTGCTCGAAATGTTCACCGTTCACTTCTTGACAGAAAAAAAGTCGGCTTTGGAATTCATTCCGAACTCTATTAAATGTTTCCGGGGTAATACTGTAACACACATCTGTTATTCGGTCCATAAGTTCCTGGAGTGACTGTGGCTGCGTGACGTACACCTTAGATTTTATGTACCCCCACAGAAAAAAGTCCATAGGTGTCATATCAGGTGACCGAGCTGGCCATTCAATGGGGCCACGTCGGCCTATCCACCGTCCTGGAAAATGCTCGTTAAGCCATTCTCGGACAGGTCTGTAGTAGTGAGGGGGTGCACCATCTTGTTGAAAGGTAATATCCATGGTAAACTCATTTGGGTTTGCCCGAACTACTTCTTGAATACTGTGATGGATCTGATTTTGAAGCATATTTAAATACAGATGCCCAGTTAAATTTTCTGCCATAAATATTGGACCTATGATATGGTCACCCAAAATACCAGCCCATACGTTGATCTTCTCTGGAGTTTGAGTATGACCCTCTCGAAAAACGTGCGGATTTACGTCTGACCAATAACGCACATTCTGTCTATTTACCGTTCCATTTAGAAAAAAAGTACTTTCATCACTAAAACAAATAGAGTTAATGTAACCAGGATTGCGGTCAGACATGACCTCACAAAACTGCAGTCTTCTATCTGGGTCGTCTTCTGTTAATTGATGCAGAATTTTCAATTTATATGGGTGAAATTTGTGTTTTTTGAGATATTTTTTCACAGTGGTCGTAGATACGCCACAATCCATGGCTACCGTTTTTGTTGTTTGTTGCGGATTATTAACAACAGCTGCCAGAACGTCGATTTGATGCTCTTCTGAAATAGATTTTCTTCCAGATCCTTTTTCCCTCGTTACGCAACCAGTCCTTTGAAATTTACTGACCAATTCTCTTAAAGGTAAAAAAAACTGGAACAAAAACCATATTTTAAAATACCAATAATATGCGCACCTGTCTTACCACAAAAAATTGACTCTTCGACCATAATCAGTGACGGAGTTGAAATTCTGCTGCAATTAATAGTTGAAATAATTTCTTTTTGAAATTTTTGAAGCAAATTTCAATAGCTTGTCACTTCGAAACGGCTTGGTCGATTTTCACAAACACAGCGGTGTTGGATAGAGAATCGGAAGGCCTTCAAAACCAGGTGCCACGTGACCCCTTTTTACATTTGAAAAAAAAAAGTTGATGGTACCCTCTTGACACTAGGCCACGTGACCACAATCATTTTTATGCCAAAAAGTAGTAAAAGTAGTACCTTTTTACCTGAATTTTACCCGACCTCGATAGCTTGTTCCGTTCAAAAGTTAAGGGGGGGGGGAGGACTTTTTACGTCCTCACTGTATACTAGTTCTTCCTTCTCATAATTCTCCTTTTCGAACCTCGGTTACCTTCTGATTAAGGTCAGTGTGTTCGTTCACCTTAGGTTAATTAGATCTTCCTGTTGAAGCGTTTCGAATCTTAGCCTTCCATAATGATATACAATACTATATAATATATGCAGTGTGGGCACCAATGGATTCTTAGCCTATTCATTGTTGATTTCTACTCATCGTAGTAGTACAAACTCAATATTTTAGTATGTAAAAATATTATTTCCGGCAACCGTCCGGGAAGTGGCTTTTTCTTTGAGAAAGTGGCATTTTTCCGGCCTATTCCGGGAATACGTACCTCCCGGACTAGGGAAATTTGTGTCACCTTTGTCAAAAATGCCTCCATTAAACGGAACAAATTCGTGCCATCCTGTATAAAACATATTCACTGAAAATCCGTTTACGTATGGAAAGGAGTATTAGTGCCTCCATCAAACGGAACAAATTCGTGCCATCCTGTATAAAACATATTCACTGAAAATAAGTTTACGTATGGAAAGGAGTATTAGTGCCTCCATCAAACGGAACAAATTCGTGCCATCCTGTATAAAACATATTCACTGAAAATCCGTTTACGTATGGAAAGGAGTATTGGTATTTGTTTATTTACCTGCCCGAATATCTTGATACTGCGACCATTCGAAAGTTATACATGAAATTCATTTTTTTTATTCTCACTTTCAAGGTCAACAACAGTTTTTGACGAATTTTTCTGTGCCTGGTCGACAGATAATTCGCGGATTTTTGAAAATGTCTCAATACAAAAATTGTGGATTCAGATAAATCATAAATATTCATGGTTTTAGATGCATTTTGTTGGAGGCCATCACTCAACTTGTTGCCAAGAAGCCAAATCGAGAATTCATCAGAGACAAAAATACTTACATCATTCTTAGGGAATTACATAAATGGGAGAAAGATAAAAAAGCACTGGCTGCTTGCGAGAACTTGGTTGACATATTGATAAGGTGAGTTATGCCTGCCAAAACAAAATTATATCAACTACGAAAAAGCCAAAATGCTCAAAGTGCAATGACATGTTGAATAAATAATGGGTCTTCAACAATGATTGAGTGCCAGGAGACCATTTTTGATGCGGCATCTATTTTCCACCCACGTTAAAGAGATTTACAAATGTATTATTGTTTGCATAGTAATTTGTCACGTGGTTTTCAATCATTGTTGAAGACTCGTTAGATACAAAGCTCATTTCATGTACCTACCTTATTGAATGGTCTGCGTGGCATTAGCCAGGAAAGTAGTTGTTTATCTCCCGTCATCAACATTTTTGTTTATTTTAAGAACATTTGTGGTAATGACTTTGAGCTTTGTATCTATTATTTATTATTCATTCAAAATACGTATACAGTGTGGCCAAGAAATGATTGCACAGCATGGGGAAAAAGGTGCGCATTCAGAGGATCATTCCAACAATCTTCGAAAAATTTGCCAAATGTTTCATAATTTTTCAGGTGTATCGAAAAAAGTGTTTTTTCATGTGAAATCTGTTTTATTTTCTAAGTTATTTGAGCTATTTAATTATAAAGCTTTCAGCTTTTTTTTTCAAAATTTCAAAGAAAAAAGATCATTAGTTTCACTTAGTTTTGATCATTCAGTGTCAAATATTGATGGACTGGTTATTTAATACTGAGAAGTAAACATATATTTCACTAAATTGTTCAAAGCAGACATTCAAATTGTTTCATTTTAATGGATTCTTACTTGAATTCGGAATTACCTCAATAACTAAACTTTGACAACATGAAAAGTAGTTATTGACAGCAACAACATTCAGAACGAAATATGTGTTCAAAATGATCATTATTTTCTAAACAAAGATATCCTCTTCTAACAGTCGCTTCTAAAACATTTTCGAGTTATTTCTTGTAAGGCACACATTTCTTCACTACCTTCATAACATAATATCGTCGTATTTCTAATTGATCGATTGATAAAGTGAATTATTCCTCAATTACAGTAGGTATAACTATTTAAACCACGGAAATTAAATTTGCATAAAATATGGAGGAAAAGTATAATTCTATTTTTCCAAAGGAACTTGTCATCATGAAATTTAAAAATTTATCAATTAGTTGATAATGTTTTAGTGATTCATTTTTCTTTAGAATAATGAATCTGATATTTTTTAATTGGAATATCAAAAATTACATTCAAACAACTTTGTATAATACATTGTTGTATTCAGTATGAAGGAAGCATTCAGAAACGAAAACAGAACAAAATAAATTGATTGTTCTATGAATACGAAACTTTGCATAAAAATTCAATATCACCAGGAGAGCTCATCAAAAGTTGCTATGGAAAATTATTTTCAGTTTGTTTGTATCTCTAATATCAACGTAGAAAAAAATATCCAAAACGTTACTTTTATCGATATAAACTGAAAAACTATAATTTTGAAAATTTTCAAAGGCTGATGATGCTCTGAATGCGCAATTTTTTTTCCAATTCCTAATTCCTATCTCCTACCGTTTCCGATGTCCACATGCTGCGCAACTGTATTTTTTTATTCTGTGTTATTTCCAGGACGGAAGATGAAATTGATGCAGAGAATCTGAAAAATTTAGAAATACCGTTGGACATGCAAAATAATTTCAAAAAAATGGACGAAGAGATGTTAAAAGACAGTTAATGTAAATATTATGAATGTAAATAGTAAGTTTTTCATTTGATTGTTTTATTATAACCTGTCTAGTGAAAAAAAAAAAGGTAATTCCATTCTTACCTTTCGTTTGTTGAGGTTAGATTCTTCAAATTTTTTCGTCTTACCTACATGCAAGTTCCATTATTTCATATTTGAAAATGAGAGAGGCAGATAAGTTATTTCTTCTTCAACAGTGCCAAGTCCTTTCACACAATTTTTTGGTGAAAAAAAATAGATTGTATTTCGGTAATTTTGCACTTATCATGCGATTGTTTTTTTTTTTTTTTTTTCGTTTTGATACTTACGTATTTTTGTCTGAAAAACATGAGTTCGATAATGAAAAGGTGAACAACCCACTATTTATCGAGATATTTCAAGAAAAAGTTCGAAATTTCGCCTTCTTTTTCCCCCTGCCATGTATGCATTTGCAGCTACTTGCTCTTCTTATTTTGTCATTGGACACTTTATATACTTATGATGTACTTCAATGACACATTTTTAAATAGAAAATTCAACACGAAATATGGTTTTTCTGTCAAGTTTTTCATATTTAGTAAACAATTATACCAGATGACGGCCATTTCATCAATATTCAATCCAAATACGAGATGTCAAATGTCAACAGATTGCTTTTGAATGACGTTACACACGCCATTTTTTCACATTTATATACTTCCTTCTTCTCACTAAATATTGATAATACACAAGAAAATCATATTTCTAGTTGACTTTCATAAAAGAATGTGTCATTGGAGTACATTGTGATATATAAATCGTCTGATGATGAAAAAAGAAGGGCAAATTGTTCTAAATGCGATCCAAAAGGCAGGCAGAAAACGTGAAATTTGTAACTTTAAAGTGAAATATGTTAATAAATAATGGTTTGTTCACATTTTCATAATCAAATTCGTGTTTTTCAGACAAAAATACAAAAACAATTTTCGTTGATAAATCAACTCCTACACGGAAAACGCAATTTGACGATGACGTGAGTCATTTTGACATCTATAAAAAAGGATGCACCGTTTTTATCGCTGATAAACTGCCTGCTCCTTTGATCTAGTAGCTATTTGCGCCTGATGTCACTCCAATTACTGTTGTGTCAAGTTTGATTGATGGGTATGGTTCACGCGTAAATTAGCAAGATGAGCCGTTTTAGGAAAATTCCGTCTGAAGAAACCACGAAAATATGAGAAAATCAATTCCGCGAACTATCAGTTACACGGAATCATCAATAAAGGTAATCTTTATTGTTGTTTATTTGTATATTGTCCTTGATTTATCTTGCCAAAAAACACCAGAATTTTTTTCAATTGGATTAATTTCCTTACTAACTCAAACATTTTCCATCAGTAGTTATTTCCCGTTACCAAGAAAAATTTATCCGATAAAAAAAGCTCTTGTGTTTTTACTGTTAAAAAACTCATCGCATGATAAATGTAATATTACCTAGCATATTCAACACAAAAACTATCATTGTCCTCCTCCACAATATCTTCGCCATGTTCACTAATTATTTCATCTTCTGTCGAGCGGATTTCATTCCCAACTAAATCATCAACTAGCTCTGCTTCACACTTATTTCTGAACTCGTTTTCTTCAAATTCAAATTCATCAGTGCTTTTTCCACTTGCATCCCTCTGATCAAACATTGAACAATATCAAAATATTTGACAAAATGGTCAACTTTATGCCAGACCAACTACAATTTTGATTTGATTGTCTAATTCCAAGTTAGTATTTGATTTGTTGTTTGATTTTGGTGTTCTGCAAGAATCAATTCTAGCACCAACACTATTTTTACTCCATATCAACGATTTGTTGGAAGCAACTTCATGTCCAGTACACAGCTTCGCGGATTATAGTACCCTCCATACCGCCTTCTCTTCCAGGGCTCCAATAATAGCAAGGCAAATAAGAAACGAACGAGGAAGAAATGTTGACAACATAAATATGGACTTGGCAACAATTCTCGAATGGGGATCCAATAACTTGGTAGAATTCAATGCAAACAAAACACAAGCATGCCTTTTCTCTAGAAAAGCCGATCTCACTGTGCCCAACATAAGCTTGTCAGGAGTAACCATACCTCTGAAGACATCCGTTTCGATGCTTGGTATTACTATCAGTAATAACCAGTATAACCTGGGAAAATCACGTGAGATCAATTGCTAAAAGTGCATCCCAAAAACTTGGTTTTCTGTTTCGGGCCAGGAGCTATTTCACTTCCAGTCAGCTGCTTATGATCTATAAGGCACCGATCCGATCTAGCTCTATTTTATAGATATATGCCGACGATGATCTTCTGAAATATCAACAATTGTTCCTCCCTTTTGGCAGTCCCCGCGAGATTAACCTGTCGAGTTGAGGCTTCGCACCCCTTCGTGGTCACTTTGGAGACCTGCAGAACATTTATATCCAAAGACTCGTTCATCCAACGAACAGCGAGACTCTGGAACACAGTGCCAAGGGAGGTGTTCCCCAAAGCGGCATATAATCTCCAGAAATTTAAGAACACCTATTCCTACCTTATTTCCCTTGGTTCTCACGATGTTCTCTGAACATTACAGGATATATGTTTTCGTGGAAACCAGGACATAAAAAAAACAAGAGGTGGAAGTATGTGAATTCTTCAACACTACTTTCTCAACAATGACGTGATTTGAGGCAACATGTTATGACTTCCCATTCTATTGAAACAAATGAGCTCTCGATGTTTTCAGTAAACTACCGATAATATTACACCTCTCGCTTTCATTTAAAACGACAATGGATCTACTGATGGATTTTAAAGGTGTAGAGGCTAAATCCGAATTTTTCGCACTTTCACGTGTTCGTTTTGTTTTTGTTTTAAGGTAAATCTATTTCGCAATAACCTGAACTGTTTTGCAGGTTCTCCGAAACTTTTTTGCGTTTTAACGAATAAAATTGTTTTTTTTCCTAATAAGAACCGAATATAAAAGCAAAGCAATTTTAATACTTATTTAAATTTTTTCAGTCTTTCCAACAAGGGAACATATTTAACACAAAAACTATCATCGTCTTCTGCTAATACCCCTTCCACATGTTCACTAATTATTTTATCCTCTGCCGAGCCAATTTCATTCTCATTATAATCATCAACTAGCTCCTGAGCCTCTGTTTCACACATGTTTCTAAACTCGTTTTCATCAAATTCATATTCATCGGTGCTTTCCCCACTTTCATCCTCGTGATCAAACGTCTTTTCGAAGAGATCGAACTCCACGGGATTAGTAATGAAGAAACTGGAAGAATTGGCATCCATGCATTCTTGATAGTGTTCTGATGTATCTAATTTCAAGTTGAATTTCTTCAAGTCGTCCTGGAAATAGTTGGGTTGTCTTGAAACTATTCCTTCGACTATATCTGACAGGTCTAGATCGTCGTTTTCATCACAAAAACTGGAAATATCAAAGGATCCATTGCTGGATTTTGAAGGTGTCGAGGTTAGAACTGGAATCCCTAGACTTTCACCAGCATTTTTCTGTTTGTGGCTGTTCAAAACGGCTTTCCTCAAGTAGTTATCCAACGTTGCGACATTCTTTTTAGGCAAATCAATTTGGAGTTCATTGAAACTGTTTTCCAAGTTATCCAGTGCTTTTTTGTTTCCTTTCTTTTTGTTATCTTGTTTCTTCTTGGGCTTTTTCAATACTGGTTCCGAGATGGAACTGTTCTTCACCAGCTCCTCAGTTCCAGCTTTTTTCTTTCTCTTGCTAGTTTTCGGTTTTATTTTGCTTAGACGGAAGTCTTCAACTAACTTTGGATATGCTTTGTCTACTAAAATTTGAGGTTCTATGGTAGACCATATTTTTTCCACGTCTGCTTGTTCTTCTTGTATTTGATCTTCTGGTACTAGACCCTTGAAATATTCATTCTTATCAAACCAGACGATTTCATAACTTGGGATTCCTGAAACAACAAAATACTCATTCATTTTTTTAGGTTGAGTACTTATTGGACCAGTCAGGATATCGATTTGCTCAAATGGACTGATTTACAATTTGTGAAAAATGCGCTAACATTAAACGAAAAAAAGGAATATATCTGAAGCTCTCAAAGGCTAAGATCGTTACTGCTAGACGGAGAAAGTGGCAAAAAATGCTGAAATTTCGATATTATGTTATTTAGGGTGTTATGACACAGCTTGTCGTGAAAAACTCTGTATATTTTTCCTGTGGCCTTTCACCGAAATGAAAATTACATGTTTTACAAAGTGTTATTTTATGAATATTTTCTAAAAACAAACCTTTCGGGTTCCTCACTTTCTTGATACGTTTGGGAAACAGTTTGCCTTTAATATTCTTATTCTCCAAAGCATCATAATTCAAACACTGCCACCTGGTCAATATTGGAAGCATTTTCTCAAACGCATATAGCTCTTCCCATTGCAAAAATTTTGCAGAAAAATGCTAGAAACATAAATTAAGTCATTATATATTCTGTCCACCTCTAGGACCTACCAACCCTGTAAAACCTTTGATACTGTCTGCGTAGGTTAGTGGAAGGGATGCAACATTCATTTCTCAAAATATTTAGGATTCATTATAAAAGTATACAGAGTGTATAAGAATATTATACCGGTGAGAATAGGGGAAAATGTTACTATCAATATCTGTCCGATCCATCGCAAAAGCTGCTTCGCAAAAACTCGGATTTTTATTCCGTGCTAGTTTACACCTCAACAGCTTCTCATGATCTACAAAGCACAGATAAGGCCTGTTCTCACATATGGAGTTCAGCACCCAAACATATACGCAGATGCTCTTAGATTCCGTCCAGAGAAGAACCATTCACCTGGTGGTTGATGCCACACTCACTGACTCTTTGGCATCATTGGAACACCGTAGAAAAGTCAGCGACCTTTCACTTTTCTATAGATACTTCTACGGGGAATGTGCTTCGGAAATCTGTGCTATCATTCCATCACGAAATAGCACTCAGCCGAAATCGACAGGCCCAGTCAGCACATTCTTTCGTTGTCAACCTTGAAATTTATCGAACACTTTATCAAAACTCGTTCGTCTATAGAACGGCAAAGCTTTGGAATTATTTGGCAATGAAAGTATTTCCAAAAACTTATAACCTCCAAAAGTTAAAAATAAATTCCAATACCTACCTTCTTTCCCTATCCTCCCTGGGTACGTACGATGTTCTTCGAATATTATAGGGATTCCCTTTGGTGCTACAAGAGATCAAAGAAAATGCTTCCTAAGGGTGCTACATCCCTTCGAAGGTAGGTCCCCAAATGCAGTTTTCTTCAATATTTTTATTTCTAATTTTGACATGCAATTTGACATTTTCAAAACTGACGGAAGTTTTGATACGTCTAACTTTACGTAACCAGTCGTCAATATTTCTGTTGCGCAACATAAAAAATCAACTCTGCGAAAGTACTGTGCGATCCTGTTACTTTTCTTTCTTTCATACACACTTGAATTATGGCATACTGTTATGGGGAAACTCTGTTCATTCGTGTAAAGTTTTCAAAATACAAAAAAGAGCGATAAGAATTATTGCCGGTGCAGGTTACAGAGACCCTTGTCAACAAATTTTCAAACAACTCTCTATTATGCCTGCCCCTTCCCTATTCATCTACTCTATTCTTCTGGAAATTCACAAGAATAAAGGAACTATGTGTGCCAACTCTGATTTTCATGAGTACCAAACTAATGGAGCAAACGACTTGAGGTCTCCCCGATATAGGCTCAACAAATCTCGAATGAATTCATTGAATATTGGAATCTATAATTTCCTGCCTCAAGAGTTCAAGATTCTCAATTATAACTGCTCCAAATTGAAACTGAAAAGACACATGCAGTCCCATTGTTTTTACTCTATTGATGAATATCTGAAAACACCCCCACTTCTCGATAATTTGTGTTGATCACACTTCGATTACAGCAAAATTTATATTTTAGATTTGTTAGATTTGTGAGAATGTTGCATGTATGTTTGTGATAGCTTAGGTGTAAGTATATTTTATTTTATTCTGCAATTGTTTTTGAAAAACATTTTGAACTTCCAGTGACTTGCCAAAAACATAAAAATTGTAACTTGGTCAAATAAAATTCTATTCTAAATATATTACATAACTGATATCACTTGGGAAACCTAAACTTGAATCAGCCATTTTCCACTATAGTATAGAAGAGGCAAAGAAGCTTGATTTGGATTTATTCGAGCGTTGTTAGATTATGAAGATGAAGATGCTAAAAAGAAAAAATGGTTGTATGAGGAAGCGTGTACAGGCTTTCAAAATTGTCAACAAAAGAGTCACCAAGACATACTCGAGCGCTTTTGATATCAATAGGGTATTCGAGCTGCAGAACATCTCTTTCCAAAGACTCGTTCATCCAACGAACAGCGAGGCTCTGGAACACATTCCCAATGGAGGTGTTCCCCGAGTATAACCTCCAGAAATTCAAGAAGAACACCAATTCCTACCTTATTTCCCTTGGTTCTGAACCAAAATACTAGTAGTTCCTTCTAGGTGAATTTAGTAGTACAGGTCCTACACCTCAACATCATTATGATCGGTAATTATTTGCGGTCAGCAGTCGCGAACTCTTCCCTGTTTCGGACCTCAATGTATTTATTAATAGGTGGCGTACTCGACCTGATTTGGAAATATTATTCATCATTGTTTCGGCATCTAGACACCTGTGGCGGGCGCGAGTCTTGAGTAAAAGAAGGCGAGATTTTCCGAAGTTGAGTGTTATTCGAGTAATAAGAAAAAAGTATACTAAAAAGAATAATAGCCTTTGAATAGTGACTTGGCTTTTGTGTTTAAATCGAGAGTGTCAACGTCAGTTCTGGTATTAGGTAAGTCAACGACGATTTAGTTGATATTCAATTTATCAATCGATGGTTGAGACCTCGCAAGTCCGGCTTGTGTGTTAAAATGGCGTTCGTGCCACCAGTTGGAAATGTATTTTGTTAATTGTTATTTCGACGACTAGTATATGTGTGGGTATAAGTTTTTAGTTGCTTGGCTCAGTACTCGACAGCAAGTGGGAATAAATCATTGGTATTTCAAGAATTGGCGGTTGTTCATTCTTCCTGCTACCTGGTCTCAGAACCCCCAACCCCTGAGACACCCAAACCTACGTTTCGGTGCAGTTCTCACGATGTTCTCTGAACATTACAGGATATCCCTTTTCGTGAGAACCAGAACATAAAAAAAGGTGTTTCTGATAACCGAAAAATATTATTCTGCCGGTCTGCATGGTGGGGGTGGCCGTACGAAGGGAGTAGAGAATAGGTTAAAAAAAAACTTTTCGAGCGCGTCAGATATTGAGAAGGGACATTAAGTGAACCCTCAAGTAGCCCCTATTCAAAAGACTGACGATCTGGACGCGACCAAGTCATGAAAATTTTTGAAAATAAAAAAAAGGACCTTGAAATACTCAAGCGCGTCAGTTTATTATAAAGACGCTTCATCTTAATGTCCTTGTTGTATTGAACTATAATCTGACAACTATGTAGATGAATTTGACAGTTGATTTTTTTTGTTAACTGCGAATGTAATAACTAAACTATGAGCTTGTAGCAGGACATAAACAGCCCAAAGAATTTACAATTTTGAGATATTTTGAGATTACGGGTGACTGTAATTTTTGCATTCGTAAACGGAATTTTTCTGGAATTGAAAAATCATTTTGTCTATTCGTAACAGAAATACAGGACGTTATTCGAATTCGGGGTGAAACTTTGATCAACGATATTTCAGGAACGTCTCGATGTTATCGCCTGAAATCGGATCGGATGTCACTACAAAAACTCAAATATATCGAGAACTCTATCAGATGCTTCTGTTTTTCACCAAAAATAATACAGGGAAAAAAGTTGTCTTCAAAAAATCATGACCCACCCTCTGAAAACACCCTTTATAACTATATCAGAAAAATGTATTTTATCAACATACATTCATGCAGGAAATTTCAATTTGGTGACTTTTACCGTTTAGAAGTTATGCCCGCTTGGGCTCCCCTACTATAATGAAAGTATCAAACGAGTCTATTTCGTGAACCCTCGTCCTACTAACTTTTGTACATAATCGGTAGAATTCATGTTGAACTGATTATTCCTGTTCTAGCGAATTTTTTTATGAAAATTAGAGTACGAACCGTTCCCATGAAGTGTCATTTGTGAAATTTTACCAAATTTTCTTTGCGATATTTTCTCAAGAAATCACGTTTAGATGTAATAAATCAAAAATACCTATATATGCAAAAGTCCATCTATCGAGCTAAACATTTTCTCTCATAAAAACAAACGCAGAAAATCATTGTGAATTTTTTCGATCAAAATGAAAAAATCGGTTCTTTCACGGCGTTCCAACAAGAATATCTTATCTAAAAGTGTTTGAGGAATGATATTCTGGCATATTGAAACTGAGATGAATCGTGAAAAATGGCGCATTTTTATAGTATCGGTTACGAGTTTCGAATCTACCTAGGTACCTGTACTAAATCTTGTTTAGCTCATACGAAAAGATTTGTAAGATCAAATTACCCATAGGTACCAAAATTTCGTGATTCCAAGACCAATGGTAAAGATAATTGGAGAAAAGTGCATCAAAAGGCTGTAGCGCCCAAGGAAAGTATTTTCGGACACATATATTGTTAGGAACATATTTTCTCATTTTTATCTGTAGAATTACTTCCCGTAGTATAAGAATGTTATTCTGGGACACCCTGTATATTATTTCAAAATATACTTTTAGTAGGAACCAATCAGATAATTGCCCCCAAAATGTCACTGCTCTCGAAATTTCACTATCAAAAACCTAAAAGAAAAATTGAATTGCTAGTCAGTCAAACCTTGAAGAAGGCAAATGCGAAGTTCCATAACTAAAAAATTAAATGAAGGTTTTACATCGGTGGTAAGTCCTTAAGGAACGTACTGTATGCATGCAAGTCACATTATTATTTCAATATTACTACCACGAAAGCAACTAAATCCGGCTGCCTCCATTTCAAATCAAGTTTGGAAACGTTGTCTTTCTTCACGAGAAATTCATTGATCAAATTTTCATCGGGAAAATTCGGATCTTGCAGAGCTCTGCTTCTTATGTTCAGTTCATTCTTGATTCTCATCCTTTCTTCTTTGAACTTGAAAGGATCACATCCACTGATCGTTCCACAAATGTTGCAACCTAAGAAAAACTAAAATACCTATAGGGTATTCGAGAATCCATTTCAACTAGAGTACCTCAACGGGGGTGAAACCAATTCAGTGGGGTGGAGAGGATTGTAGTGTAGTTTCATGTGAGCAAGCAGGTTTCTGTAAACAACTTGCGTTCATTGATCAAACTGAGAAGGTAGCTTCAGTATAGCAATCTACCACACCATACAAGAAGCGGCAACGGTGGTTGCAACGTAATTTCTGAATTATCGTCAATCCAATTAACTTTGGGTATAACATACCCCACCACACCAACACTGGAAGTGTTTTTCGACGAACAAAATACTGATAAGAATACGATTTTTTCCTTTATATTCAAGATTTCCAAGGTTTTTTAGTTTGGCAGTCTGACAAAATGAATATCAATGACTGAAATCAAGAATTCAATCAAGAAGACATTTATGGGAAACACAAACGTAGATAACAGGGAATTTACGATAAAGTCAAATCAGACGAAGGATCGACTCTGAATCGGATGGATCGAAAGCTGAAGTGAAGGACCATACGGAGAAATATGATATAGACAACAAGATGAAGAACGATGAACAAAATGAACTAAGCAAAATAAATCAAATGAAAAACCTTGAAACGTACTTTTAATAATTTTAAAAATTGGATCTCGTACAAAATTACTATGGAAAATGACTTCAATTCATTATACAGGGTGTTTCATAATTGAATGTCAATATTCGAGGAGGCGATTCTTGGGCTCATTCTGAGAAGAAAGTTTCATATGAACGTATGACCTAAACGTCCCAACTTTTGAGATACAGGGTGGTAAAATTCTCGAAAATTAATATAGCCTACTACAATGAGAAGTTATAATTCGAAAATACCAAATACGAATACAAAGTTCATGAACTATGAATTGTATTTCTGAAATTTGATCTTAAAAATAAAAACTATTTCTCTGCATTGTGATATTGTCATATTAACAATATCACTATAATCATGTAGTGAAAAGCTTTTTATTTTTAAGCGAAAACCGTGCATCAGATTGAAAAAATTGTAGTGATCAAATTTGCTTAGAAATGATCGGGAATTTCAGGAATGATTTCAATTTGGAGATCAATCAGTGGTGTACCATCAATGTCTGCCAAAATAGGTATGTGAAATTCCATACGAACGCCACTGGTGGCAACAACAAAAAATGTGGTACGCTAACTGATGCCTCTTGATACATAGTACATGTATGCCGAATTTCATCAGAATATCTGAAGTGGTATTACAGATATTAATAAAAAACTATTGATTTTTGAGAACTTTACCACCCTGTATCTCAAAAGTTAGGATGTTTAGGTCATACGTTCATATGAAACTTTCTTCTTAGAATGGGCCCAAGAATTGCGTCCCCAAATATTGACATTCAATTATGAAACACCCTGTATTCGTTTTGTCACAAACCTATTGAAATTGTAATTTATTGTTTTTGAAAGGTGATATTGATATGATTGAAGATTATAAGTTTTGTTTTTGAAAGTTTGACAAAACCTACCTGGTGATTCATCCATAGAATAGATACAAACAAAAAAACGTGAAACTAACATAAACAAATCTGTTGTCAATCGTTTGAGCCGGATCTGAAATTTGTAGGTTATATATTCAAAAAGTTATGAGGAAAAAACGAATAAGTTCACTTGTTAGAGGGTGGACCGGCTCGAATGTAAATTGATGAAAGTATGCCGATAGTTTATAAAAAAGTGTAAAACCAAGGTTGTGCCAGAAGGCAATCGCAATTATAACATGGAATATTCAAATAGGGCTGTGAAAGCTGTCAAGAAGGGTCGGCTGAGTATAAGGAAAGGGCGTTCGAACAGTTCGCAGTCCCGTTCACCACCTTAAGACGTTGATAGCTATTTTCATGAACTTCTGTTCGTTTTTTTTGTTGGTAATCAATTCATATTTTTCTAAAATTAATTTTCTTGATCCTCTCCTCCCATTGACATGTTTGAAGTGATTTTTCAGACATTTGAAAGGTATTTTAAAAAATCGTTCATGATAGTTGATTTTTTATTTTTTCACTAAGCTCTAGAGAAGGGATTACGAATTATATCATCGCTGAAAAAAACTCCGATTTTGATCCGTTTCACCCCAGTTGACGGTACCTATTAGAGCAAGATTCCATGAACCCCAGACCCTCGTAAAAAATTCAATAGGGTGTTATATTTGGAAAAATGGTCACGGACGTCATAACTCAAACGTTGAGCACCCTGTATAAATTGAAATTGAAAATCGACCCCTATGTGTGATATATGTTTGAATTCAGCCTTCCATCTAGATTCCGAAAATTATTATTATTATTATTATTATATTCCGAACGTACTTCTAATCAAAACTTTCAAATGCAGTGACACAATATACAAATCGAATAATTCATGATGACAGAAGTGTCAAATGACTGTTCAAATGCCGTCAATTGTCTATGGCATAATGATTTGGATCGACAGATAGACCGCCATAAGCACAATTTCAAGAATGATGCTTCAAAAGAATGAATTCCTTGATAAAATCATATATTTATCATGAAAGCAAAGGTTCATTTCCTCCCATGTGTGTTTAATGCCCTCCGCTATGCGTGGTGCATCAAACTTGACACGCGGGAGGAAATGGATACCTTTCTTCCATTGATATACAGGGTGTTAACAAATAAGTGTCACAACGGAAAACTGTAGATTCCTCATGAAAAAAGAATATTTTTTTTCCTTTACGAAATTTTTCTCCGGGCTTCCGTTTTCAAGATACAGGGCGTCAAAAAAAAATTAAAAAAATCAGTTTTTTGCTCTTATCTCGGGAACCGTTTGAGCTACAGAGCTGAGCCTGTGTACACACTTCATCATCAATAATGACTACTTGTAAGGCTCTCGAGCAATTTCCTTGGACATGTCAGTGGCGGAGAGTTCAACGCCTCGTAAGGGTTTAACCCCCCAAACTTTCATGCCACTGGAGAAATTGTAATTTTCAAAGCACATTCTGAAGCGCTAATATCTTTCACACAAAAAAGGTCCTCTTGCTTCAATGCTCTGAAGTGAACAGTTTTCGAGAAAAATGGCAATTTATGAATAAAAACATACAAAATCGTACTACAATTTTTTTTCGAAAAATATTCAAATTGTAATTGAAATACTATGTTATCATTAACAATAATTACAGCAACAATAAACTAAATTTGGAAGAAAATTCTTCAACACCTTAATGATCCAAATATCACAATAGTTGTTCAAAATTACGACCCCCGACTTCAATGCAAGCATTGCATCTGCGAATCATATTTCTTTGAACGTTGTCCATAATTCGAGGCATGTTGCGAATTTCGAGCGCTGCAGCCTCAATTCTGGCCGTCAATTCCTCTAAAGTATCAACAGGATTCTCATAGACTAGACTTTTCATGTGACCCCATAAAAAGTAGTCGAGAGGTGTTAGGTCAGGTGACCGGGCAGGCCAGCTTACTGGACCACCTCTTCCAATCCACCGTCTTCTGAATGTTGTGTTCAGGTACTCTCTAACGCCGACTGAGAAGTGTGGGGGTGCTCCGTCATGCTGGAACCACATCTGCCGACGAACATTCATTGGCACATCGTCTAGTAATTCCGGCAAAACTTCTTCCAGGAAATTCAAGTAAATAGGACCGGTTAGTCTTGGTGGCAATACATATGGTCCTATTAAACTGTCGCTGATAATCCCAGCCCAAACATTCACGCTAAATTTGTGTTGATGCCCAATTGAAAATATGGCGTGGGGGTTTTCTTCGTCCCACAAATGATTATTACGTGAATTGAAAATACCATCCCTGGTAAAACTGGATTCGTCCGAAAAAAGGATTGACCGTGGAAATTGGTGATTTTCTTCATATCGATCCAGCAACCAGCGACAGTATTCCACTCTTGGTGGATAATCAACTGGAAGCAACGGTTGTACTTTCTGTAGATGGAAAGGGTGAAGTTGTTGTTCCCGTAAAACTTTCCAAACATTTACGTGATTTGAATTCAAAGCTTGAGCAATTCCTCGGGTGCTTGCTCTTGGATTTTCTTCGACGAGATGAAGTATATTTTCTTCAAATCTTGGCACGCGACGGTTTCTTTGCCGTCCACAGTTCCTTTTATTAGGTTTGAAACTTGCTGTTTCTCTTAAGCGCGTCTCAATTCGGGCAAAAATCCGGTAAGATGGCCTTCGACGATTTGGAAAACGCTGCGAATACAGACGTTGTGTAGCTATTCCATTACTGCGTGATCCTCCGTAAATTTTTATCATGTCAGTATATTCGTTATTGGTAAAGTCATTCATTGTTTTACCACACTCAATTATACACACTTTACAACACTTAATAAACTCAACAATTCGTGAACTAGCACTCAACAACCTGACATTTGATTGAACGTTCATTTGACAGTTTTGAAGTAATTTATTTCCAGTGGAAACTTGATTTTTAGACGATTTTCAGAGATACCAGGATTTTGTATGTTTTTATTCATAAATCGCCATTTTTCTCGAGAACTATTCACTTCAGAGCATTGAAGCAAGAAGACCTTTTTTGTGTGAAAGATATTAGCGCTTCAGAATGTGCTTTGAAAATTACAATTTTTTCAGTGGCATGAAAGTTTGGGGGGTTAAACCCTTACGAGGCGTTGAACTCTCCGCCACTGACATGTCCAAGGAAATTGCTCGAGAGCCTTACAAGTAGTCATTATTGATGATGAAGTGTGTACACAGGCTCAGCTCTGTAGCTCAAACGATTCCTGAGATAAGAGCAAAAAACTGAATTTTTTTATTTTTTTTTGACGCCCTGTATCTTGAAAACGGAAGCCTGGAAAAAAATTTCGTAAAGGAAAAAAATATTCTTTTTTTATGAGGAATCAACAGTTTCCCGTTGTGACACTTATTTGTTAACACCCTGTATAAATAACTATTTTATATACTCATTAACATACACCAGTGTACCTCACTTCTAATGGCGAAGCACCACTGTATCTTTCTTTATAATTGTTTGGTTAGAATTCTGAAATAGAATAGAATGTCTGAGTTCACAAAAATATATGTGAAGTTTAGATTAAAAATCGAAAATAACCGATAAATTGAATGTTGTGTATCTACCATAACGTCATCCCATGCCTCATAACTCAACATTCATGTAACTCACCATTTCTATTGTGTGCTTGTAATTTTCCACGGTGTCCACAGGAAGTACAGATATTTTTATCCGAAACCTGATTCTCGAATTTCTCGTACATTTCATCATTTTTCCTCCACGACCTCAACCGGTCCAAAGTTTCTTCGTCCGATAATTTTTCGAAGAGCTTGAATACCGACTCCTTTCCAACTCCCAGTACACCATCGTTATAATCGCAACCGCACAATAAGGCCATGGCGATTATTTTATTTCGACCGAAATCTAAAACGGCCCGATGAAAACCATATTATATAATAATTGTAATATTGAGGAAAAATAATGCGAGAAGAATAATTAAAACTATTAAAACAAAATGGATAACTTCACATCTAAAATCTGAAATTGTAGAAGCAGGAAGGAAGGTAATAATCCACTTGGTTCTTGATCATGTTGATCATGATTATTATGCTTCATATTTTATCTCTTGGGGCGCACGAAAGGGAATCCCTATAGTGTTCATGCGTACCTAGGGAGGATAGGGAGAGAAGGTAGGTATTGAAATTTTAGTTGAACTTCTGGAGATTTTTCTTGGGAATACTTCCTTTGGCAAAGAAATCCAAAGCTTTATAGACAAAGTAGTTTTGCCGACTGGGCTTGTCGAGTTCGTCAGAACATGGTATTGCTATAGTAATGGAATGGTAGCAGAGATATTATTATTATTATTATTATTATTATTATTATAGTGAAAGGTCGCCGACTTTTCTACGGTACTCCAATGATTTCAAAGAATTAGTGAGTGCGGCATCATAATCATAATTTTGTATGCTGGTATAGTCTCCAATGTAAATTGGAGCAGCTGCAACGGGAAACATAAGTTAGGTGTCTTCATTGCATTTTAAGTTCAAATAGTCAGGTTAGGTTAGGCTCAGTATTTATAAAAACATTGGACAAGAAAACTTAAACCTGAAATTGTCCATATTGACAAATGTTCAATTGACCATTCTAGAACACCATGATATTGACATGGTTTCTTGGAAGGCACACAAACGATCTGTTAGGTTACCTTTGATGAGCATATGAAACAAAATTATTGAATTCCTTCCGGTTCCAATTCGGATTCCAAGGAAAACTTATTCTGGTTTTGTATGACAAATTTTGACAAAAAACAATGTTTTCCCTCCAGGGGCCTGTCGAATGACATAATTCTGGAATGATTAATTGGAACATTCAGTAAACAAGTGCCATTGACAGGCAAACATAGTTTGGGTAAGTGAATAGGCAATGGGCGTGTACACCTTAGTAGAACTTTCAACTCAAACCATGTTTATAACGATCCTTCTATACATAAATAATGATTGACGACATAATTCGATAGAAAAATTAACTGTAATATTTTATTTCTGGGCATGAATAATAGAACCTTCTGAAAACGGACCCCCTTTTATGACGTAGAAACCTCATCTCACCATAGTTAAAAGAAAATACCAAACGCTTGACGGAGACTCAGGCAACTGATGTATTAATTCTTTCAACTGTGATCTCGCGCTAATTCACTCTATCAGAAATCATGTATCATTCATCTCTGTCTGGAATAGTCTTGTTTCAATATTTTTTTATAAAACGTAGGGAGCTCACAGCAAGAAACGGTTTGCGGTGGTGAGCTAGTTTGGGTGAGTTCTATCGAATTATGAAATAAAAATGTTTTGTGATATAAGCCCATTGACCATTCTAGAACACGTAATTTTGACATGGTTTCTTGAGGGGCACACAAACTATCTATTAGGTTACCTTTGATATGTCAATTTCCATCAAGGGACCCTACCTTTGATGACCATAGCCCTACCATCCCTGCCAAATCCACAATATAATAACAGTTTCACCAAACAAAATTATGAAATTCTTTCGGGTTCCAACTCGGATTCCAAGGAAAACGATCCCAATTCTGGTTTCATATGACAAATCTTATCAAAATACTGCCCCTCAGCAACCTGTCAAATGACGTTATTCTAGAATGATTAATAGTATACATCACCTGACATCACCTACAAGGTTTTCATACAGAATAACAATGTACCCGACTTTGTTTATGCACATACACAGTGTGTGCGATTTCAATCCCCAGCACCCTCTTAATTGGGAACCCGTTGACCGATTTTCAATCAAAAATTCCCTAATATAGTATTTAACGAGCTCTATTCGAAAATGTGGACGAATCTTTTTTTTTTTTTTTTTTTTTTTTTTTTTTTTTTTTTTTTTTTTTTTTTTTTTTTTATCGATTGGAGCGCACGAAAGGGAATCCCTATAATGTTCGAAGAACATCGTGCGTTCCTAGGGAGGACAGGGACAGGAGGTAGGTATTGGAATTTCTTTTGAATTTTTGGAGATTATATGTTGTTGGGAATACTTCCACAGGCAATGAATTCCAGAGCCTAGCCGTTCTATGGATGAAGGAGTCTTGATAAAGTGCTGTTCGACATCTTTCGAGGTTGACGACGAAAGGATGTGCTGACTGGGCTTGTCTAGTTCGTCTGATTGGTATTGCTAGTGAAGGGATGATTGCAGAGATTTCCGAAGAACATTTCCCGTGGAAGTATCGATAGGTGTTCCAATGATGTCAAAGAGTGAGTGAGTGTGGCGTCACCCACCAGGCGAATGGCTCTTCTCTGGATGGAATCTAAGAGCATCAGCGTATGTTTTGGTGCTGAACCCCATATGTGGGAACAGTATTCTAGAACAGGCCGTATCTGCGCTTTGTAGATCATGAGAAGCTGTTGAGGTGTAAAGTAGCTTTTCGCACGGAACAAGAATCCGAGTTTTTGTGAAGCAGCTTTTGCGATGGATCTGACATGATTATCCCATGAAAGAGTGTTGCTGATGGAAATACCGAGCATAGATATGGTGGGCTTGGTGGGGATGGTGGAGCCAGACATTACAATATCGGGCATACTGAGTTCCGCCTTTCTAGAGAAAATGCAGGCTTGAGTTTTGGTGGCGTTGAATTCAACTAGGTTGTTCGTTCCCCAGGCTGTGATTTCAGCAAGATCTTCATTGACTGCATTGACCTGCCTTCGCCGTGAATTCTTAGTTTCCTGGGAAGAAATAGGAATTCTGGAAGAGAACGCAGTATGGAGGGTACTATCATCTGCAAAGCTGTGGATGGGGCAAGTTGTTACTCCCAACAGATCATTGATATGAAGTAGGAATAATGTTGGTGCCAAAATTGATCCTTGTGGAACGCCGGAATTGATGCCAATGGTATCAGACGATACACCGTCCACCACCACGTGAAGCGATCTGCCTGAAAGAGAACTCGATAAGAGATGGCATAGCTGAGGTGGTAAGCCGTATGATGGTAGTTTGTGGAGGAGTCCTTCGTGCCAAACACGGTCGAATGCTTTCGATATGTCCAACGCGACAGCTAGAGATTCCCCGTGTTTTTCTTTTGAAGATTGCCATAAATGGGTGACGTAGGCAAGTAGATCTCCAGTAGATCTTCGGTGTATTCAGATTTTCAAGTCCTACTTTCGTTTGTTGAAGGGGTCAAAATTTCAAAAAAGACTATAAGGCAATTTTTTCGAAACAATGATTAGCCTATTGGATTCGGGTATTGCTGAAATACCCCCATACAAAATTTGAATGTTATATCTCATATAGGGTCTTAGTTATTCATGGAAGATTTTGATATTTTTGATTTTTCCTGATTGTTATCATTTACAGATCTAAAACCTCAGTTCTGAAAATTGAATAGGTGTCCCCATGAAAATGTTTTCAAATATGTCCTGTTCAGTAAGGAATTGCATAAACTCTAAGAATGCTAGTTACCATTTATAATTGAGTTGCCCAAAGACTAGAAGACATTTAAAGTGTTTGTTAAAGCTTCAAATTCCAATATTCATATCATGGAAATACATGCAATGATGTAATATTGATATAACTACAAAATGAGCTCATGTGTCTTTGGTGTCACTCCACCGTTAGGGTTTGAAATAATATGTGTGCACTCCTTCAATGATAAATAAAATTCTTCTGTCCCAGTCACGGTGTTAGTGGCCAAATTCCACCTAAACGGCTCGACCGATTCATATGAAAATTTTTGTGCGAATTCGGTAGGTATGAGAATTGTTCGTAATCAATTTTTTAAATCGAATTCAAGATGGCGGATCCAAGATGGCGGATCCAATATGACGGAAGAGTTTTGTAATCCGATTTCAATCAAAATTGGTATCTGGGGATTTTCGGGGTCGGAGATTAGGATTTATTCGTCAAAACTAGGAAAATCAAAATGGCTGATCCAATATTTCGGACGAGTTTTTTAATTATGGTCCGATTCTATTCAAAATTGGAATCTGGGGGTTTTCAGAGTCGGAGATTATGATTCTTTTGTCAAAATTTGGAAATTCAAGATGGCGGATCCAATATGACGGACGATTTTTTTTAAATATGATCAGATTCCATTCAAAAGTTGTATCTGGAGGTTTTGGGTGCGGAGATTATGATCATTCCGTCAAAATTTGGAAATTCACGATGGCGGATCCAATATGGCGGACGAGTTTTGTAATGATGATCAGATTCTATTCAAAATTAGTATCAAGAGGTTTTCGGAGTCGGAGATAATAATTTTTTCGTCAAAAATTTTGAAATTCAAGATGGCTTATCCAATATGGTGGAAAACTTTTGTAATAATTATGGTCAGATTTTATCAAAATTGGTAACTGGGTGTTTTCGAGGTCAAAGATTATGATTCCTTCGTCAATATTAGGAAATTCAAAAATATCGGATCTAATATGGCTGACTATGATCAGATTCTATTCAAAATTGGTATCTGGGAGTTTTCAAAGTCGGAGGTAATGTTTCTTTCATTAAAATTTGGAAATCCAAGATGGCAGATCCAATATGGTGGACGAGTTTGGTAACTATGATCCGATTCCATTCAGAATTTGTATCTAGGGGATTTTGGGGTCGAAGATTATGATTCTTTCATCAAAATTAGGGAATTAAAGATGGAGGATCCAATATGGCGGGCGAGTTTAGTTTTTAAGATCTGATTCTATTCAAAATTTGTATCTGGGGGTTTTGTTTTTATGATCTGATTCTATTCAAAATTTGTATCTGGGGGTTTTTGGGGTAAGAGATTATGATTTTAGTCTTTAAAATTGGAAAATTCAAGATATCGGATCCAATATGGCAAAATAGCTTTGTAATAAATAATAAATACTGTCTGAAGGTTTGAAAAACTATAATGAAACACGCTTTTATGGAGGCCAAACTGAATGGAAGTAGAAAACTGATAGTATAGTTTATTAACAAGATATATTGTCAAACTAAAAAGAAGTAGAAAATAAAAATAGTAGTTTGGAATACTAAAGAAACATGATTTTATGGATAGTTAAACTAAAAAGAAGTAGAAAACACAATAATAAAAGTGTGTTGATAAATATTTAGGTAAAAAGAAGTGAGCAGAAAATAAAGAGTAGTTTGAAAAAATGAATCAGTGCCAAACTAAAAAGAAGTAGAAAATTAATAGAATAGTTTGAAAACTAAAGAAACCTGCTTTTATGGATAGCCAAACTGATAAGAAGTAGAAATAAAATAATGAAAGTTTTTAGATGAATATTTATCTGAAAAAATATTTTCTAGAAATAATGTTCATTGCAAAACAACTTTTGCAAAGTCATCTAGTATCTATCTTATAAAAGATATGTGTCTCATGTTTTTTCTTCATCATGACAAGCATGTCCACACTCTTTAAAGGGTCTATAATGATGATATGATATGTTCCAGGAACTCTAATAGATACTTACTCATGCTGTGACAAGCTTTGTTTATGTCATAAATATCAACAGCCCCACCACTAGCTGTATAAGCACCTTGTGAGGCAATGGAAAAGTTTCGATAAACAATTTTTGCACCATAAGCAAAACAATCTGAATCCTGAGAAATGCAACCATCAACAAGCTAAAAAAAACTACCTATAACTCCTTAAAAGCTCTGCTTTTGAATAATCTTACACCTTCATCATTCAGATATGCACACAGGCTTTCTGCTTCCCCTTTCCCAGTGATACATGCTAAACCCATATGACCAAGCATTTCCTCACATTGTTTCAATACAAAGTTGAACCTCGTCCTGTCTTTGCCAGTCCTGATGTTATCACTCTTGGGTTTGGCCCCTTTGAATTGTACAGCGTTTCTCGCCGCTATCGTGTCATATTTCAGCTCGGGAGCCTTTCCTTCTAATATGAAGACAGGGTTCACTTGTATCAAGAGTAGGTAACATGCTCGGAAATACAAGTTCCTACGGTATACTTGCATGTTGAATCCAGCAAGCTATTGATTTTATCAACATGATGTTATATTGAACACATCGAATGTTAAACAAACCTTAAATACATTCGTGGTTGCACTTGATATTCTGCTATGTTTTGTGCCTCGCAAATCCAACAAGATAAATCAATTGCAACAGTTTTTCCATAAAGTTCATACAGTGGTTTCCTTTCACAAAAAGGGGTTAAAAGTGTCCACAAATTTTTAATTCCCATGATTATTGAGTGCGTTTTTTCTTTCCTATAATCGCTATCCACCTTTTTTGAATTCAAATCAAATAACTGTCATAAAAAGTAAATAAACAACTGAGGCAAGTCCCGAAGAAAAAATACATCAGTCACTTCTGTCTTCTGTCAGTCTGTAGTTACGTTTGGTTAAGCCCGTGTGGGTGCGTTTTTCATTCCAACATTTTATCATGCGCATGAATCGAAGAAACCATCAAACTGTTGCAAAATTCCGCTGGAATGTTGATGGACATCCATCAAACTGTTGTAATAAAATGCGCACTTTTAAATCGCATTTGGAGAATCCAGCAGTTTGGAGGAGATTGACATGACAGTTGACACATTTTAGTGTTGTTTTTTGTTTTGATTTGATAAAAAACAATTAATATTGAGGATTTTTGAGATTTTTGAGAGATTTTAGAAGAAAGAGTCAGTGTTAATCAATAAAGTCGAATTAGCCTTTTCTGATTCTCAAGATACATGATGACTGACACACAACAAAATCCGTGTTTCCATCAATGTGTTGTATAAACCATTGTTCAATCCTTCCAGCATAAATTCCAACAGAACAATTGGTGACGTCACGACAAAAAACCGCATCTATCAGTGCGCACTTTCTTCGATGGAATGAAAAACACGCCCTGGCTCACGGTCCAACAATTTGATCAAATTTGTTTGATGTGACGTCATTATAATAATAATAATAATAATAATAATATCGACTTTATTATTTCTTGAGGAAAAACAAATACATAATTCTTTATTATTTTATAACCAAGAAATAAAGGGCGAAGTTCATTTTCTGCACTGCTAGGCATAACAGAAAATGCTCTTCCACTCAACCCTAAACAGAAACCTGTGACTGCTACATAATATTGTTACATTTTAATTCGAATACGAGCAAACAATGACATAATGGAGTGTAGTTTATTTATTCTGAGCAAGATATTAAATATATAACCTTATTTCACTCAGACAAATACTCTCTAAATTTAGATTTGAAGTTTAAAAAATTCAGTTGTTTAAATGAGGGGGGAACAGAATTATACATGTGACAAATTCGGTATCTAAAGGACTGCCTGAACATTTCTGTCCTGAATTTCGGTATTGCAAGCATATTTTTTAGTCTAATATTCAAATTGTGAATGTCTGTCCGATATTTAATTTTCCTATGCAGATACGATGGTTTTTTTGTTATAACTATTTTGTGGAAAAGACAAACAGCGTGAAGTACCCTCCTTTTTTTCATGTTCAACCATCCAATTTCTTGTAGTTTGTATGAGATCCTTTGTCGGCGACGAATACCGAAAATTAATCTGAGACACGAGTTTTGAACTTTTTGAATTTTATTTTTATACTGACAAGTTAAACATGGACCATAAAGAACATCTCCATAATTGAAAATTGAGAGTACTAAAGATTCACATAAGGCTTTTTTCACATGATAAGGTAGAAAATGTCGATTACCATAAATAATTTTTATTGCACAGTAGGCACGTTGCAGGAGTCTATTTATAAACCCCTCAAATCTCAGCTCTACATCCATCAAAATACCAAGATTTTTTGCTTCACTAACAATAGCTAGCGATTCATTTTGTATGCAAACATTCACCGAATCACTTACTGTGGCACGAATGTTTTTTGGGCCAAAAATCATTACATTTGATTTGCTGGAATTTATAAGTAGACAATGGTCCTTAGCCAGGTCTACAAATCTGTTCAGATCTGCATTGATAAGATCGCAAGCATTTTCTACCATCTCAGCAGGAAAACTATAATATATTTGGGTGTCGTCTGCATATAAGTGCACTTGACAGGTGTGAAGGGAATGAAGTAAGTGAGAGGTATATATGGAAAACAGTAACGGGCCAAGTATAGAACCTTGGGGTACTCCAGATTTGAGATATAGAAGTTCTGAGTCACATTCCTCGACACTAACCTTCTGTTGTCTATCTTTCAAATAGTTTGTCATCAATGACAGAGCATCAACAGAAAAACCTATGTAACTCAAAATATCTATCAATAAATTATGATTGATGGTATCGAAGGCCCGGCTGAAATCCAAAAGAACCAATACCGTACATTTACTTTCATCTGTGGCTTTCATTACATCGTCCACGATATGAAGAAGAGCTGTTGTGCAACTATGTCCTTTCCGAAAACCTGATTGAACAGATGGCAACAAAGAAAAGTTCGATAGATGCTTTTTTATTTGCACCTCCATCGCTCGCTCAAGGATTTTCGACAACACTGGCAAAATACTTATTCCCCTCAAATCCTTGAATTCCATTGGGCTCTGTTTTTTAGGCAGAACTTTTACAACCGCTCTCTTCCAAATAGTAGGACAAACATTCTCAGTCAGACAGAAATTTATAATATGAGTAATATATGGTACGATATGAGGACAACACAATCTTAGTAGCTTGATACTGAATCCATCACAACCCCTAGCATTAGTTTTTATACCACAGATAATGTTGTAAACAAACATATCATTAATTTCTTCAAAGTTAAATTTAGCATTAGCATCAATCCGTGTATTATCTTTATAAAAGTTTAATAAATGTTCTGGTGGTTCAGTATGTGGGACTGATTCTACAAAGTACTTATTCAATTCCTGAGGGGTTTTCAAATTTTCCGGTATATTATTACTCTTTTCTCTTATAAACTTATTAGCCCTGAGAGCTTTCCACATTTCTTTCGGCGAAGTGTTGTTAAATTCATTGGTGAAATAGGCTCTTTTTTCCCTCTTAATAGCCTGATTGGTTAAATTGCGCATTTGCCTATAGAAGTCCAAATGCCCTTGTAATTTAGTTCTCTTGAATTTTGCCAAAGCCTTCTCTCGTTCAGCAATCATTATTTTGATAACATCTGTCAACCATGGAGCTTTGGGTTTTGTCACTCGAGAAGTAGTAATAGGCATATGTTTATCAAATAGGTTATTCAAACAATTCACCAAGTATGAAACTTTCTCATCGACACTTTCTTGGTCGAATATCCTGAAAAAAGAGGTATTGAACAAATCTACCTGAAAAAGATCTTGGTCGAAATTTTTGAAGCTCCTGTATGTACACAGTTTCGGTTTACTTTGCTCTCCACGTACTCTCAATTTACAATGAACAATGGAATGATCTGAAATGTTGTGATGGATAACACCTTTGTCAACTTCAGACCCCTCTTGGACAATAACATAGTCCAACAATGTTGCCGACGTAGCTGTGACTCTAGTAGGGACATCTATCAATTGACACAGGTTCAATGCATTCAGTATTGAATAAAACTTCTTTACGCAGTTATTCTCTTCATCGAATAAATCTAAATTAAAATCACCCATACAAACTATTTCGTCTACGGTTGGTCCTATTGCAATTAAGCTGTCCTCAAATTCGTCAAGGAATGCATTTGTATTCTGTTCATGAGGTTTATAAATAACACCGTTGATTGATATATTACGCTTACGCTGGGAAGATGCCCAACCTTATGGGGCAAAACGAGGTCCAAAAAAATCTCACAACTAGATGGCGTACCATAGTTCGAAATCTCACATAGTGGCGGCGATAGTGTCGAACGATGTCGGAGCAATAGTTCGTAATTTGACGGGCAGGTGCGCCACTTACGAAGAGAATCTATTGGAATGCAGATGGCGTGCGACTTGGAACAATTAAACAATCCATAATCCGGAACGCTTGTATATCGAATCCATGATCAATCAGTACGATTCTGACTAATATGGCGGTAAATTCGAATTTGTTAGTATTAGTTGTATTTCTTTTATTCGTCTGAGGCTTCTAACGAGCGCATCACGGACGTGAGATCATGCGATTGTGGAATAAACTGGTCAGCGGATATCAATATATAAACTGCTCATAAATTTGATTGAAATTCACGAACCCGGACCAGTGTTGTCACCTTAGTGTATTTTACCCTAGAACTGAATCTAAAATGGGTCTGTTTGAGTGGAATTCCATATTTCATTATGTCGAATTACTAAATCAAACGATAATTCACTGTCGCAAATCATTTTCTTGTCAGAGCTATGTACAATTTTTGAAATTTTTATTATTGAAATTACTGATATTTATCACATGAAAAACGCGGAACATTGCGTGACAATTCTATACCGCTATCAATCCAAAGTATTTTATACTGGTATATGATCCGACCTATGTATTGCCGAAACTTGGAGTGCCAATAATTTTCTTTGATTTATGTGGGGCGGCCGACTCGGTGCGTTTGTCGGCGATAGGGATGCCAAGTCGTCCTTTATTGTCGCCCTAACAACACAATTACATCCTGGGGACTTCCCAGGGACGTCCCTGATTTTATACAAGGACATCCCAGAGATATCCTTTGTCGGGACAGAGTACATACTAGGGACGCCCCAGGGACATCAGCTGGCTGACAAAAAAAGCATCCAAGGGATTTCCGTCTGGTACGTCCCTGGGATGTACCAAGTACGAAGAAAGGATATCCCTAGGAGGTCCCAAGGATATTCCAGGGACATCCCTTCGACAAAAGAAAAAATGTAGGTCGAGTAGGGCTTGAACCCGGGACCTTCAGCTTTTTCAGGCACGCACCTTACTCCATTGGCTGATATGCCTTCTGAAGATTTATGTACCAAACAGATTTTTAAACAGGACCAAACTGCAGAAACCTGAATAAATACAATACTTTGTTAGGATTTGGGTATAATTATTATCATTCGTGGATGTTTAAAAATGAGGGGCATTATATGCATTTACGATTTCTGTTTGCGAAAAATGGTCATTTCTTGAGAAGTTCTGACTTTCTTTATTTTCATTACAATTATTTACCGGAAAAAAACCAAACATTTTCATAAAAATTCAACTCAATATTTTGATGAAAGTCAATGACTCTGATGTGAATAGATATCAGATATACCAAGGACACGAATTGGATAACCTATGGATGTGCGGGACATTCCCTGGATACCCCAATTATGTCCTTGTACCGTGTGACAAAGAGGGGAAGTACCTAGTACATCCCTGTGTTGTTAGGGCGGAGATTCTGAGCGTTCCGTAGTCTGTACTCCGTTTGTTTTGGAGCGGCAAAATCGATTCTACTCAGAAAAGGTTACTGGTATCACGAAATATCAACGCCGATTTCATGATTATATTATATCGTGGCATATAGACTGGAAATGTAGTTGTTTTCTGTTGATTTTGTTTTTATCTCAAATATACCAAAAAAGAGTTCATATTTTTCAACAACTAGATACTGTAAAAAATGGTTCATAAGCTTGCAGCATCAACTCTTGTAATCCAATAAATAAATGAATTCTATATATGTTCCAATAGTTATGACTCACTCTGTATATTATGCCTATTATAGATGATGTATTTTATTTCATTTTTATAGTGAACCATTAACAATCAAAGATTCAAAGATATCTGACTATTTATTTTCGATCAACTGATGGGACTCTAAGAAATTATCACATTCAGATTGATTATATTATCAATATTTTGTAATGTCTTATTAATACAAAATTTTAAAATGGATACAAATTGAGTAAAAAAAATAATCAACGAAAAAGGCGTGAGATGTTTTTCCAGATAATATACAAATTATATTGGTCTAGGGTATAGGCAAAGTATGACAAGTTATTCACAAGGGAAGGGAATTTAAAAAAACGCCACGGAGTAGGAACCCAAATGAGTGAGAGATCATAATATGTTCTGTTCTTCTCTCCTCCGCAAGGAACCGAGGAAAAAATCAATACTGTCCATGGGATTCACCGACCGTAGCAAACATTTTTTTATCGGAACCGGTCGGGCGGGTCGGGTCTCATCGTAGAAGACAAGGATAAACAAGAATTTCTGGAGCGATAGCACGCGGTGGGATGGGATCTGTAATTCTGTACAAAAGTGTAGTAATCTGTACAATTAGTTCAGACATGTTCTGTGTGCCTAGTGGAGTCGCTACCTCACAGTGGCTAAACGATAGACGAGGGGATGAGAGGGGCATCGACTCGCAAATAACACAGGTTGGGCATCTTCCCAGCGTAAGCGTAATATATCAATCAACGATAACACCAACAGCAATCGTCTTTTTTTCAATAATGATTTTTATCCAACATTGTTCCCATGTATAATCCTGCCCACTCTCAATTACCTCAAAACGCAATTTATTACTGACATATAAACATAAACCTTTTCCCCTACAATTTCTGTCCACCCTGTGTATATTATATCCATCAAAGTTCAACTCATCGTTATCAATCGAATTTTTTAACCATGTTTCACATACCAGCAATATATCTAAGAAGTTTTCTAAAACTATTTGTCTGACGTTGTTTAAAGAAGGCAATAATGATCTTGCATTACAGCAACCTATGTTTAAAAAATGCATATTTACTCCGACAACACTTGCTCGCATTCAATCACAAAACAAGAAAAGAAAAAAAAGAACAGTGTTTATTTGAACTAAAAGATAGTACCTTCCCAAATATGAAGAAAAAAAAATAATTAAGAACTTTACTAGTAGGGAACGTGTCAATTGGTCGCAATGCTGCAAACTTAGTCTCATAAAATCATAGCGTACCTATACTATAAAACTAAAAATTGAATTCTTACCTGTTTGACTCAAACGGTTTGATGTGACAAGAAATCTTTGTCACACGATTTGAAGATTTTTGAACAAAAATATTGGTTAAGTAGGTTTTCTAAAATGGAAAAAATCACAAGGGAAAATTGAATAAAATGCATTACATGGTAAGTATTATGTGTTGTATATGTAATACAAAGTGATCAAGAAATAAGAGGGAGATATGTAGAAGATATTAGCTTCAAAGAAGAAATATTGGTAGATATGAGTCCTACCTATGATTTCTGATGGGGTCAGACTGGAAGATATCCATATTTGGTATTGGAGCAAGACAAAAATATTCCTCGAATTATCCGAAATGGTCCTCAGGTCAATTGCCAGGACAGTTATTTTTGAAGTGTTGATAATATTAATGATAGTATTTCTTGTTAATTCCTAAGATATAAAATAATAATCAATAATCAATGGAGAAAACATGAAAACAAGCATCCTAACCTTATTGTTTGATCCAACACAACAAATATTAGAACAAGTTCTAAATTTCATCTGCTGTTTGACGTGACGTCACTGATGACATCACAGATCTGTAGTTTGATCAAATTGTTGGACCGTGAGACACAGCCTTTACGTTTCATTCATCTGAATCCGCCACCGGAATATGTGATGTCAGAACACGGGAATCTCTGGTCAGTCTTGTCAGTCATGAAACTTAAAGCCATTTTTCCTCGATGTTAACCACACAAACCGGGTCAACAATAAGTTAACCAGTCAATTTTCCTCGAAGTGTATTCCAAACTATGACGTAATAGTTGACCAACCACTCAAACCAGCTCACTGAGGTAGTTCACGGCTTTTGATTGGGCACTGGATTGGGCTCTTGTTGTTGTTATGATCTGAGGTTATATAATTGATGAGAAAAAATAATTATAATCCTCAAAGAGATAATTATGAGACCTGTTCGTTTGTGCTTGCTCTACCTGCTGAACTTGATTTTCTTCTATGATTTTCTCTGTTCACATCATGCCATGAACATAGACAACTATGGAAAAAAAATCAATTTTAGCAATACAAACGAACAGGCCTATGGATTCATACGAAGTGTTTTTCAATGAGAGAGCTCATCATACCATTGATGAAGATGAATATTTGATTTATTGTTAATATGTAGGTAGCGAATTGTTCCAATTTTCAAGTACCTAGTTTGTGTCTATGATATAATTATTCTTGTTACAGATGATGAATTTCTTATTCAATACTACCAAAACCAAACAACCTACTATTCTTTGACCAGACAATAAATAAAAACAGCTGATGAACTGACATCTGTCAAGCATTAAAAATAAACCGTTAGGTCATAATAAAGTTACCATGACGTCATCATAAAGATAACCTGGTTTGTCTGGTAAAGTTCGAGGAAAAATGTCTTTAATGGAATGCTGTTGTCAGAGATTAGCCATCTCTGCCCCTGCTGTGCTGCAAGCACTTGTTTCCATCTTGTTTCTTGCTGGGCGATTTTGACTTTGGAGTTTGGCCTTTGACGGCGATGAAAGTGAAGAAGTTATTACTGGTTAATTTGAATTGGTTAGCGCAATAAACTCCAGCGCCATTTCCTCAATAGAAAAAGGGAACAATTTCATAATATCACCTTCCTTATATTATACCATTATGTTGGAAGCCAGAATGATGGATGTAGAACGCGCAGCTGTCGCAACGCGCTCGTCTTTATCGAATTTTGCTAACGGAGGAAACGACAGCGCAGTGATGCACGTTTGTTATTGTTAGTGGTACTTTTATTCTCGATGTCTTTTATGTTTTGTCAAATCGCACCTTGGAAAAAATCTTGCATTTCTCGTTCACTAGTTCAGAATGGGGTGGAAATTAGAAAATTACAACTAGTGAAAAACACTTTTATTTCATATGGAATATTTTCGCTTGTGTTGGTAGGTAATGAGTAGTTCAATGAACGAATCATATGACAACATGCAATAACAGGATAATAATATATACTAGGGTCCCTTAATGGAAATTGACGTTAAAGTCATCTTAAACAGGGTACGGACAGATCCTCGTCTCCTCTCACTCTAAAGTGTTTGTGAAACAGTTATATAGTTCCATCCTTATTTAATTCTGGGGATAAACACCAATGATAAACACTAGATTCTTGACATTTGTTGTTTTTTAGGTTATATTGAGGTCATTGGCGTATCATATGGAATTTTCATATGAAATTCTTGATTCAACTATACCAAGATATAGATGAACAATCCTCTAGTTTTAGAGTTTACTACTCCAGCATAGTCTTTGCGAGGTAGGGTACATATAAATGGTATACTGAAAGCTTAATATACTCTACCAAAAGAGAGTGCTCATAGACTGTATACCAGGGTTGACTGAATTGACTGAATGAATTCTGATTTCAAGCTGAGCAGTAGTTTATCTATGAGCTGAATGAGCTGAGCCTTATGATTGACAAATGGTATCTAAACTACTGTACTCATGTCATGTGTGCTAAATATATTATTCTACTATATATTCATTTTATACTCCTTTCCAGCTCGGCAACCTATCTCTTCAGATTTTTTTAAACTACCATTTATGTTCTCCTTCTTCTTGATTCGACTAAGGATCTACGAACGCGTGTTTAATTAATTTTCCAATCAACTATTTATTAAAAAGCTCGTTCGTCATATTGGGCCATCTTGAATATCCCAATTTTGACAAAAAATCATAAAGTTCGACCCCGAAAACCCCAGATACCTTCCAATTTCGAATAGAATCGGATCATAATTAAGTACACAACTCGTTCGCCATATGATCTTCCTCAACTAGTAAATACCCTGTACATACCTATTATTAAAATTTTGAATGATTTTCTGTAGCGCCCATGTATGTGACGTGACAACAATGTCAGGGATGCCAGTAGAGAAAACTAAAGTCTCTAGATCATTGAAAAAGAATGCAGCTATGATCTGTCCGTACCCTGTTAAAATGACTTTAACGTCAATTTCCATCAAGGAACCCTTATATATACGAATAAAAAAACTCAGGTAATGGAAAGAGTTGAGCAGACTTGCATTTTTTTAATCTCAATGTGTAACTTTACGAACAATTCTTACATTTACGGAGAAGATATCGTAGGAAGAGGCCAAATGTCACGGAAAAATTGAGTAGATTATTTATCAGTTCTACCATCTCTGACCTCACGTTTCAGTGGCGCGATGTGGTGAACAATAAATAATGTTAGCTCTCTTTAGGATTAATGATATAGAGATCCTCCAAGACATACGGAAACCATAATGCTGTTCCATGGAAATATAAACAAAGATGAACTGGGGCTATTTACATAACCATGTGAAGCTTGGCATCACTGGCAGCGTCAACCAATCACAGCGCTGTTTGGGAAAGGAACATGGATATTGCAGCAGTGTTTACGTTTGTTTCCTGGTTCCTCTGTTTACATCGAATTAATGCTCTTGAAATTTGTGATATTCAAGTGAATCAGTGAATTTTTGTGTTAATCCTTGAGTGTCCTGATGCTGCGTAATTGTGATATATGCAGAAAAAGTGCAAATTTATACATATCATTTGTATATCAAAATCGGGTCGATTCTGTTCGGATCTTGTTATGATATTGCTAAGCAACTCTGTATTCTGTTCGGACAGTAACTGCAAGATTGGTTATAAGTTGAAGTGAGCAATATTGTTGAAAAATTGAGAATTTTTGAGCTGACACTGTTTTCAACCCATTTGTTAGGTCGTGTTAGGTACCGTAATTGCCATTATTTCATGAAGAAGAATAGTTTATGATTATCTAATCTCCTAGAACCTAGAACTAATAAGTACTGTGATTAACCATCCTTGTACAAATATATATACCAACCACTCGGTATACGACCTGTTAACATATCATTCCTTGTACGGGAGTGGATCAACGGTTACCTACTGTGAAAAATGGTTCGAAAAATTGATAATTGATGAAAGTATTTATGACTTGTCCAATACTCTATTAACTAATCAGATCCTCAAAGGTTAATTTAGTTTGTTTTAGGTTACTAGGTATCTGAACTAAAAACAAAACAACACCGATAACTGCCGAATGATGCCAAGAGTTTAAACTACAAAAAACCTCTGTTATTATAACCTACTTGATATTGAACATATTCTCAACCGAAACGAATATTAAAATACATTGAGTAAATCCGAAACATGTTTTTATTATACGACCCTCAGATACACCATCTTTTAAATCTCATAAAATTATGACTCTTAATTATTATTAATTCTTTTTTTATTTATTTAAATGAATTGTTCCATATTGGTTGATTACAGTTTCCATGACCATTCATCTGAATTTTACAGTCACATTCCACCAAAGAGTTTTCAGAAGTCTGTTGTTGAAAAAGTGACTTCAACGTCTTCTACTACAATTTCTTCAATTCCATCAACAAACTAAACGATGAAACAAGATTCTATTTCTGTTTCAGCACTAGGATCATAATTAGCAGTAAATTCTGTTGGGCACAGATTCATTTCTGAAAGTACCGTCAAACGAGCTGAAGTGAATAAAAAAAATTCGTTTTCGATCTTTTCTCGAAAAGTATTGGGACAAAAAATAATATAGGTCGTGGCACTATTTTCGAATGGATCAAGTCGAAAATACTTTCAAGAAATCAAATCTGATTCACTTTACCCACCACTTTGGGGTAAAATTAAGCAGGCATTAAAATCGCGTTGAAACTCATTTTGAAATACTCAGAGGTGAAGTGAATCAGATTTGGTTTAATTTTTTCCATTTATAATATATATTTCATTCTTGGCATGGCTAAGAATAAATCAAATTATTAGAATTTGATAATTAAAATCCATAGTATAGCAAGATATAACATAAAAAATATGAAATTACAAAATATATACCCCACGTTCAAAGAAATTGAAATGATTAATTTTACCCATTGAAGTGACCACTTCAAAGTAAAAAATGCTGAAATTCAACTAAAAACATTCGGACAAAAATGTTACCTAATGTATGTTTAGTAATAACTATTGAACACATTACGAGCATGTAAGTAAATCAAATTATAGAGTTACTGCCTCCACAATCAGTCGTATAAACAGTTTCGTAAAAATAGCAAAATCTGTTAGAGCCTTAAGTGTGTTCGTGATACTCTTGTGTTTCTTTAAGCGCAGCGAAACACCCTCATTCACTTACTTATACGTACTATCGAGACGACTGAGACGCGAAAACATTTCAATAAACAGCGCCCTCTTTTGTACTGAAGAACCCGACTGATTCATTTTACCCACTATGGTTTAATTAACCCCGTTTGACGGTACCTCACTATGATAAGTTTTACTGTGCCTTGTCGGTGCCTCCACAATCAATCGAATAAACAGTTTCGTAAAAATAGCAAAATCTGTTAGAGCCTGAAGTGTGTTCGTGTTACTCTCGTGTTTCTTTAAGCGCGGAGAAACACCCTCCTTCACCTACTTATACGTACTGGCGAGACGACTGGGATGCGAAAATGTTTCAATCTTGCAAAAGGAGCAACCAGCTGCTCTCTTTTGTACTGAGGAAGCCGACTGATTCATTTTACCCACTATGGTTCAATTCACCCCGTTTGACGGTACCTCACTATGATAAGTTTTACTGTGCCTTGTCAAATGACTATTCAATTTGAACTTTTTCAAACAAAAATCACATTGAAAAGGTTTTTCGCCAGTATGCACTACAATGTGTCTGGTCAAATCAGTCTTACTAGCAAATTGTTTCTGACAAGTATCACATTCGAAAAGTTTCTCTCCAGTATGATATCTAATATGTTTAGTGAAACCAGCCTCACTGGCGAATGTTTTTTGACAAAAATCACATTGGAAAGGTTT